GTACATATACATACGGTAGACCGACATGTCATATACATACATATATATATATTTATATCCAGTACTTGTTTACTAGGCGGAGAGATAAGAAGAGAGGCGGGAAACCGAAAGCAAGCGGGCAAAGTTGTAACGTTTGGTCGAGGAAACGTGGATATATCGGGCACTGGCGTGGAAGAAAAGCAAGTAGTAGAGCAAGCGAGAAAGGAGTTTCGGCGAAAGGGGGGTGGGGGTTGTGAAATGCAAGCAAGGATGCAGAGGTGGTGTGGCGAATCAGGACCAGTTTCAGGCCTGCGCTCACTCTTCATACCCACGTTGCTGCGTGCCGTAGACGGATCGTGAGAGAAGAAAGAAGAGGAAGAAGAAGAAGAAGAAGAAGAAGAGGAGGAGTGTCTCCTGGCCCTCGGTGTTTATAGATCAAAGGATCGAAAGAAAGCAAGGAAGGAAGGAAAAGGGAAGAAAAGAAGAAAAAGAAATTGACCATGTTGACTCGAGCCGTTTTCTCCTCGATTTTGTTGATCACTTGCGTGACCTTGGGCAGGGCGCAGTTTCGGTGTCCCGAGCCAAAAGGCTTCTTCCCTGACCCGGAACAGTGCGACCTCTACTTCGCCTGCGTGGACGGAAAAGCGGAAGAGAAGCTCTGCAAGGATGGACTCGTCTTCAGGGACGACAATCCTAAGAAGGAGCTGTGCGACATCCCTGCCAACGTGCCTTGCGGAGACAGAACTTTGCTTCGTGAGTTTTGCAATCGTCAAAAATATTTTTTTTCTTTCCCTCGAATTTTTCCAATCTTTTTTCCTCAATTACTCGAGCCGCGAACGATTTAAAGAAACATTTTAATTTCGTAGCGATTTGAAGAGTATAAGAAGGAGGTGAAGTGCGATGCAACGACAAGTGTTTATTTATTTTTATCGTTGGAGAACCTGGAGAGTACCTTCGATACCTTGGAGCTTATGCCAAGACCGATGGTGAAAGTTACGTGTACGGCGAGAATATTCCGGTCACATTGTCCTACGTCTGTTTTTTCGAGAAATCCCGAACACGGACGTGAATCGAATCGCGGAACAGGCGAAAATTTTCGTCGAAAAAGGAACGATGCGATCTGAAAATGGAATTCGAAAATGGAATTCGACCGTGCGAATAATCGAAACGTTCGAAGAATGAAAATTAGATTTTGGGGATAAATCGCGAACGATGCGATTAAATTGTAACCGAACCGGTTCCGTCGCGAAATTAAATCGCTTTTCGAATTTTATTAATCTTCGCTTTATTTTATCCTCTTTCAATCTTTTTCTCTTTTTTCCCCCGCTTTTATCGAATAAATTTACATGCTAATTTTTCTACAAAGGAATACAAAGAATACAAAGGAGGACTCTTTACTTTTCTTCTTTCTTTTTTTCGAGCAATTTGATTAAATTTCACAATTTTATTTTTATCTCTTCTTCGATGAGATCTGTTTTAAAAAAAAAATTATAATTTTATTATATTCCAATGAAATCTTCATCTTCTCGAATGTAATTTACAATACATATAACATTTTACAATAATTTATATTAATTTACAATGTATATTGTTGAGATGGTTAAATGGATCTGTTATTATCGACAGAGGAGCCACAACCGAGCAAAGGATGCCCCCGCGCGAACGGCTACTTCAAGCACGAGGACCCAACCGCGTGCGATCGTTTCGTGAACTGCATCGACGGCGTTGCCCAGACAATGCCCTGCCCACCCGGCCTCATTTACGAGGACAAAATGTCGAGTTGCGTGTGGCCAGCCGACGCAAGTAGATTGTGCGAGAACGTGAAGAGGGACGTTCTCGACGACGGTTTCGTATGCCCTGACGGGGACGTGCCCGGCCCTCTGGGCAGGATTCTACCCCATCCGACTTATCCCCATCCGGACGACTGCGCCAAATTCTACATCTGCAAGAATGGCGTGGTGCCGCAGAAAGGGCAGTGCGAGCCTGGCACCGTTTACAGCGAGGACAGCTTTAAATGTATGGATCCTGAGAGCGTTCCTGGATGGTAAGTATTTTTTTTTTTAAAGGAAAACGAATGGCGGTAAGATTGATTTTTTGAAAAAAATCTATGCGATTTTTACGATACGATGGACGCTTGTTTCTCTTCTCCATGCAGATTTCCATGTATTTTATTATATTTGGCGATCATTTTTTTTTTTTAAATTTATAGGTTTCTTATCTGAATTTCGATATTTCTGATCTACATCGTATATTTTAGCACAATCTTTGGCAAAAAATATCCGATCATTTTTTGAATTTTATGTAAAAATGTTTACATAAATTTTGATATATAATCTCTTTTTATATATAATTCTTAATAAAAAGTTATTCTTTGAAATTTATGATTTTTATATTATCGTTTCGATCGTTGGGATCGTTTATTTTTCAATTTGATGAAATTGTCGATGCATGTAAATGATAAATTTACAAGAGTAAATTTTCATCAATTTTTATCCAAAAATTTTTTTACATGTCGTCTGGTAAACCGATCCTTTTAAAAGTTTGAATTAATTTTAAAATAGTTCTATTATATAAATATTCTATTTTAAGAGAGGTAGTCGAAAATTTTTTGCCAGGAATGTATTCCTAAAATTTATAATGGAGGACGAAAAAAACGTTTTAACCTTTTCTCGTGTTAATGCAAATTATGCGTTTATTAAATTCAGACAAAAATTTTGATTTTCGTCGTCTTTTCTTTCTTGTTCCAGCGAGGATTACTACAAGAGCAAAAACTAATTAAAGACAAGGTGCCAGTTACTCAGCGATACGTCTGTAACGCTTAATTTTTTTTTTTTTTTTTTTAAATT